CGCCCCGCCAACCCTCCCGGAACGGGCACAGCCACGGACTGCAGCAAAACGGGCTGGGGGATGAGCTGGGGGGTCCCACACCTTCAAATCATCTCCACCGTCCCTCAGCCAGGACATTCACCCCCACAAAGCCGCTGACTTGTTGAAGGAAAAAGGAGTTGTGTCCCTTTGGGTACAACGAGGTGATAAAAAATGTTTGGAAAGTTTTTATTCACAGAGATACTGCTGCTCTTACCTTCCAAAACACTGATTGATGATGATGATGGTGATGGTGATAATCTATGGCCTCATTCATGAGCCCCCAGGGTCATAGCAAAGGTAGGCTGGCCTATAGGGATGGAGATGATCTGTACGGCTGTGTTAAATTCTGAAATTAATAATAGCCACAGAGAAATTAATTATAGCAATAGAGAAATTGCTGGCAACCTTACTGTGAGGATCCCACCCCACATGCAAGACCCTTGAGGTGCCCCTGTAAAGGTGGGAGGGTTTGCAGGGCAGGGGGGCTTTGCCCTGGTGCAGGGAGACCCGAGGGGAGACAGGGGGGTGTGGGGCCCTGGGGGATCAGTTATGGGCTGGGAATTGTGGATCCAGAGCTGGGGCCCTTCAAGGTGCAGGCACACCTGGGAATTACCTTGGGAAGGCAGCAGGGAAGGTTCAGCAGGGAGAACTGGGCTGGTCTTTGGAGAAGAGCAGGGATTTCCTCGCTAATCCCTGTCTTGGAGGGTTGTCCAAGGCCATCGAATCCAAGTTATTTACATAAAGCATGTGAAAAAGTTGGTTAGAAAAATGTAAATATCAGAAGGCTTAAAAAAATCTTAAAAAGTCAAGGCGACAAGGGGGAGCTGCCAGCCCCAGCTGCCACTGCTGAACAGTCCCTTCTTGTCCCCGAGCATCTGCCCGTGGCCCTCAAAGCTGCATTGTTCCCCGTGAGGCTCACGGGATTCCCACCACAGGATTCCCACCACGGGATTCCCACCATGGGATTCCCACTGTGGGATTCCTACCATGGGATTCCCACCACAGGATTCCCACTGCGAGATTCCCACCACAGGATTCCCACTGCAGGATTCCCACCATGGGATTCCCACCTTGGCTGCTCCATCCTGCTGGGATCCTGGAGGGATGGGAGCTGGAGAGCCGGGGGAGCGCCGGGGGGACAGCCCAGGGCCAGGGGAGGGGGACACATAGTGCCACTGTCACATCCAGGGGACCGTGGAGCCCCTCAGCCTGCCAGGGGGCTGCGCTTGGGCTGCCCCCAGACTCACTCTGGGGTGACTTTGGTGAGGGGAAACACCTTTGGTGAGGGAAGAAAACACCTTTGGTGAGGGAAGAAAACATCTTTGGTGAGGGAAAACAGCTTTGGTGAGGGAAGAAAACACCTTTGGTGAGGGAAAACACCTTTGGTGAGGGAACACAACACCTTGGGTGAGGAGTAACTGGTGAAGGAGCCCCTGGAGCCTGGAGCTGCTCTCCCAGGCATGGAGAGGGGCTGGGTGGCTCTGCACAGGAGGGAAGGGACCAATCCCCCACATCTGGTGTCAGAATAAGGCTCGGGGTCATTCCCCGGGGGATTTGGTGGCAGCAGAGGGAGGCAGGGCCAGGGCAGGGCTGTGCCAGCACACAGGTCCCTCTGCAGCCTCTGGCAGGGGAGCAGACACCAGAGCAGGGTTTTGGCTCACATCCTTGTGTGGGACAGGCGTCCACCCATGGAATGGCAGGGGGAAGAGCTCAATCCCGTGGGAAGGGGCAGCACCCCAGCTGGTGGGGACTGTCACCCCCTCACCCTGGCACCCCGAGCTTGCCTTCAGAGCTGCCGGCAGGGTTTTTCTGCGGCCGAAGCACATCCGAGAGCACCATCTCCTGGGCACCACGGGGAGAAGCTGAACGAGGAGCTTTCCTTGTGCATTTTGGGCTGCCTTGGCTGAAGTGGTGTCCTCGTGGTGGGGTCCATCCTGCCAGGTGTCTGAGGAGCAGAATGGACACCCCAGAACGAAAAAACGCTGATTTTCCTGCTCTAATTCAAAGCAAGCATGGGGAAAGTGGATAAGCTTGTGCTCCTTTTAAAAGCTTGGATTCCCTTGAAGCTGTCCAACTTTTCCAGCTGTTTGAGTTTCTTTTGACAACATGGAAGTGGATATTACCCAGGGCCCAGGACTCTTGGACCCTCCACCTGTACAGCCCTGGAAAATTAATTTTGCTTTACAGAGCTTCTTCTTCAGCTGGGGATATCCCCCTGGGCTGGGATCAGACATGGATTTACTCTTTCCTGCCTTCACCTCATTCCCAGCAATGCTGTGTTTCAGCTGGGGCTGGGAAGGGTGGGAGGAGAATGAGCTGGGCAGAAACTCCTATAAAAACTCAAGTGTGCAGGTTGAACACGGCTGGGGAAAGCTGAGGGGGTTTGGGAGGGTCGGGTGTGAGCTGGGAGGGCTGGGGCACCCCCAGAGGGGTGGAAAGGTGTGCTGGATCCAGCGGGGGAGGATGGTGGAGAGGAGGGGCAGCCTCCCTTCCCCTCTGCAGGCAGCCCTGCCCTGCTGGGGACACGCTGGGACAGGGACACCAAGCCACCCTTTCATGGAGCACTGCTGGCCCTGGACAGGGAGGAGGATGAGGGAAGGGTGAGGGACGGGCAGAGGGGGTGAGGATGATGAAGGCAGGGTGAGGGATGGGCAGAGGGGGTGAGGAGGGAGGAGGATGAAGGCAGGGTGAGCGTTGGGCGTTGGGGTGAGGAGGATGAGGGCAGGATGAGGGACAGGCACTGGGGTGAGGATGATGAAGGCAGGGTGAAGGACGGGCAGCGGGGGTGTGAGAGCCCAGCCCCGCTGCAGGAGCCGCTGCAGGCTGTGCAGCTCACCCTGCCCTGCAGCCCCGGAGGCTCCGGGCACCCCTCCAGTGCCGGATTCCTTGCAGTGACCCCGGAGCATCACTCGGGACACGGCGGCGGGCAGCACCGCCTCCTGTCCCTGTCCCCGCGCCTGACGCCGGCTCCTCGCCCACTCCCTGGCCAAGCGGGCCAGCGGAGCCCTTTAAAGGCGAACGGGTTCCTCCGCATTCACTCTCTGGGAGCTGCCCCTGCCTGTCCCTGCCTGTCCCTGCCTGTCCCTGCTCTGTCCCCGCTCCAGCCTTTGCGCAACGCGCCCTCCTCAGACGCAGCCGGCACCCGCTGTCCCAAGGGTGTCGCGGTGTCCCCAAGGTGTCCCGGAGCTGTCCCCCGTGTCTGGGGACAGCCGTGCATGGAGGGGCCGCTGCCCTGGGGCCCTACAGCAGGTAAGGGGACTTTGGGGCACGGGGTGAGGGAGGGAGCGGCCATCCCTGATCCCTCCTGAACGGGGCGGGAGCCTGGATCTGTTCCGTGCCCGGGAGTGGGTCCTGCTGTCCCTGTGACAGGGGGTGACAGCCCTGCAGGAGGAGGGCAGCCCGGCCTGGGGTGGCAGAAGGCCAGGCCGGCTGGGAGGGTGTTGTGTGAGAAAAGGGGAGCAGGCTGGGCGGGGGCTGAAAATGCCACCAGGTCTGGAAAAACCTGCAGCTTTGGGAAGGTCAGGCTGCTGAGCTGGTCTGGGAGGGCTGAGCTGAGCTTCTCCCCTCTCCCTTCTCCTCTCTGCCCTCTCCCTTCGTGCCCAGGGAGAGGCAGGGCAGATCTTCAGCCCCATCGGGGGCTCGGAGCACCCCACACTGCTCTGGGGCTGGGCTGGGCTGGCTCTGCCTTCCCTCCTCTCTGACTAACCCTGGCACAGGCTTGCTGTACCCAGCTCCAGCCTAAGCATGCCCACGGCCTGGAGATGCCATGGCCTGGAGATGCCATGGTCTGGCCACCAGCACGGACTGGCCACCAGCCCAGGCCATCCCCCAGCAGCCTGGAAGGAGCCCAGGGTGGGTGTCTGCTGCCTGCCCTGGCCGTGTCACCTCCCTGGCCGTGTCACCTCCCTGCTCCACCAACCTGGCTGCTCAAGGCTCCCCTGGGCCCCTTGGAGATCTCTGGGATGGGAGCAGCTCCCTGTCCTTGGCAGGTTCCATCCTGGGATGGGAATGCCCAGCAGCTGAGCACAGAGGCACTGGTGACACAGTGTGAGCCTGGGCTGACACAGTGTGAGCCTGGATTGGCACAGTCTGGGCCAGGGATGGCACAGTGTGAGCCTGGATTAGCCCAGTCTGGGCCAGGGATAGCACAGTGTGAGCCTGGATTAGCCCAGTCTGGGCCAGGGATAGCACAGTGTGAGCCTGGATTAGCCCAGTCTGGGCCAGGGATAGCACAGTGTGAGCCTGGATTAGCCCAGTCTGGGCCAGGGATAGCACAGTGTGAGTTTGGGATGGCACAGTGTGAGCCTGGATTGGCACAGTGTGAGCCTGGGATGGCACAGTGTGAGCCTGGAATGGCACAGTGTGAGCCTGGAATGGCACAGTCTGGGTTTGGGATGGCACAGTGTGAGCCTGGGATGGCACAGTGTGAGCCTGGATTGGCACAGTGTGAGCCTGGGATGGCACAGTGTGAGCCTGGGATGGCACAGTCTGAGCCTTGGCTATATACTGCTTTTCTTGCCCGAGCGAAGTTTCTTTTGTTTTATTCTTTTTCCTGAATATTCATGTAGTTTTCTATCTCCTATCCGGTATTGGAAGAATCCTGTCTCCAATCGGACAAAGCTGTCTTTGGAAAAACAACCCGGGAGGGGAACAGATACATGTAAATTCCAAGTTATGGGAACTAGTTGTTCAAATGTGAGTCCAGGGCTGTCCTCAGTTATCTGGGGTCGTTACTGGCCGATGGTTGTTTGGGTGTTCCGCCCAGAGTTTCTGCAGGAGCTAGCTCCTTCACTTGCAAATTAGGACCCCTATTCAGTGGCCACCTGTGTTTCTGCAAGCCGGCGAGGTAATCTCTTCACCCCTGTGTAAGATTTCTATATCTTGGTGCTTTTCATAACAGATATTCTACAAGTATGATTTATTTTATATCTACATCTCTCTCTGAGCACGAACTCACACTAACATTTACCGCAGCAGGGATGTCCGAGACCCCCCCGAGCAAGGATGCTGCCCCGGCCGAGTGCCCGGTGTGCTACGAGAGGTTCCATCCCCTGGAGGCCACGCACCGGCGGCTCAGCTGCGGCCACACCTTCTGCCACGACTGCCTGGTGAAGTGCCTGCTGTCTGCCAAGCTGGACGGGCACGTCCAGAGCAGCATCGTGTGCCCCGTGTGCCGCTTCGTCACCTTCCTCAGCAGGAAGAAGGCTCAGTGGCCGCCCAGGGCCACCGAGCCCCGCTCGCTGGAGGTGCCCCTGTCGCCGTCCTCGCTGTCGCAGCTGGCCAAGAGCGAGGCCAGCAACACGCTGGTGGTGCCCAGCCACTTCGTGCTGCCCGAGCGGAGCCCGGAGCGCTGCCCGGCGGGGCTGGCACGGGATGCTCACATCTTTGTCATCAGCGAGCACGGCGTGCCGCTGGTGGCCGCGCAGGACTGCGGCTCGCCCAGGAGGAGCTCGCTGTCGCTGTCGGTGTCGTCCGGCCCGGCGCTGGGGCTGCAGTGCTGCCAGTCGCCCATGGCGCTGGCCGTGATGCTCGTGCTGACCGTGGCCATGCTGGCCGCCGTGCTGCCGTGGCTGCTGCTGGTCAGGAGGGACTTGTAGCACGGCTGGGACACCGCGGTGGTGTCGCTGGGGACACGGCCGGGCTGGAGACTCTCTCTGAGAGGAAGACCAGCAGCGGCTCGGGGTGAAGCTCTCTCACCCGGCCAGGGACTGAGCGGAGTCTCAGACCTTCCCGCAGAGCTCCAGCTGCTCACAGTGTCACTGCTGGCATTTTCTGTCCCTTCTGGTTAAGATATGGCAGGGAAAGCCTGCTGTGGCTTCCTGCAAGGTCTGTGGAAGACATCCCCCTGCACCCTCTGGCAGCACCTGCAGGGCTGGGGGGGCTGTGCTGCTCCTGCCCAGCCCTGGGCGGGCTGGCACCGTGGCACCGGGCACAGCCGAGGGCTCAGGGGGTCAGGCCTGCCAGGCTGTGGGGCTCTGCAGGTCCCCAGGACATCGGGATCACCATGATGCAGCCAGGCTGTGGGGCTCTGCAGGTCCCCAGGACATAGGGATCACCGTGATGCAGCCAGCCTGGAGCAGCAACTCAGAAGAAGAATCTTCTCTGGAGCAGAAACTCACATGAGGGCTCAGGGGGTCAGGCCTGCCAGGCTGTGGGGCTCTGCAGGTCCCCAGGACATCGGGATCACCGTGATGCAGCCAGCCAGGAGCAGCAACTGAGAAGCAGAAGCTTCTCTGGAGCAGAAACTCACAGCTTCCAGTCCGGGATGGAGAAACCAGAGCTGCAGCTGGCAGGCACGAGGGCAGGGATACCAGAGGATGGAGAGAGCAATGCTGGCCCTGTGAGCTCACCTTCCCCTCTGCCAGCCTCCCTGCAGGGCCATGGGGTGGCAGGGGAGCCCAGCTCACCCCACAGGCAGGCCCAGCCGTGCCCTCCTTCTCTGAGCTCCACAGGGTCATGTCTGTCCTCCTGTTGTCACAGCTTCCATCCGGCCAGGGGGACACAGGTACAGGGGCTGGGGGTAAACCCAAGTTCTGGCCATCACAGGGGGGCAGATTTGGGATCCCACCCTGCTCTCCTTGCTAGAGCCCTGTGGCAGAGTGACATTTCCCTGTCCCTGTACCCCACTGCTGAGGTCTCACAGCCAGGGGCTCATTTTCACCTGTGCAAACAGGCTGGGCACTGCTCAGCCCCAAAATCCTCCTGGCTTTGCCCTCTTCGGGACTGGTGCCACCTGAGGGGACCCCAGTGTCAGCCCCCAGCCCGGGGATGGCAGTGGGCAGCAGGGGGGCACAGCTGGGGTTTGGGAAGCTCCGAGCCTGCTCTCAGGGGAGGGAGAAGGGCATTGCTGGACACCCCTGCTGGTGCTGGGGCCACTCATGGCACTTGTCCCCAGCCCAGTCTGCACCTTTGTCACCTTTGTCCTCCTGACCCAGTCCCTGGCCCCGTGGGTGCTGCTCTCACTCTGGGAATGTGTCACTTTGTGGGCACCCCAGGGTGAGCGGGATGTCCCTCACTGTCCCCCCAACATGAGCAGGATGTCCCTCACTCACTCCAGGTGAGCAGGATGTCCCTCACTGTTACCCCAAAGTGAGCAGAATGTCTCTCACTGTCACCCCAACATGAGCAGGACATCCCCCACTGTCCCCCCAACATGAGCAGGATGTCCCTGCTGTCCCCCATGGGAGGTGGCAGTGGGGCACAGGGCTGGCCCAGGGTTCCCATGCTCCCGAAGGAGGGACAAACATCGCCAGCAGTGCCACCAGGGTGGCTTTGGGACCAGACAGGAGTTTCCAGGGTAACAAATCAGGACAACGTGGGGCTGGGGAGGGAGAGCAGTGTGGGGCAGGGGAGCTGATGGTGTCCCCTGCCATCCCTGGGGTCACAGCTGGGGACACTGCCCTGCTGGCCTGCTGCTCCCTGTGATGTTCCTGCACTGCCCCAGCCCTGTCCCAGTGTCCCCACCCAAACCTGGGGTGCCACGACCCCGACCCCGTGTGAGAAGTGCCTGAGACACCGCACTGGAATGGAAACCCTGTTTCATCAGAAAAGGTGACCTGGTTGTGACGTGTCCCTGCCTCATTACTCAACAATAAACCCTGTTATTAATGTGTCTGGCAATCAGTGCAGGGTGCCAGGGCAGCAGCCCCCATGGGGGAGGTGGCACAGGGTGGCTGCAGCCCTGGAGATGTTTGGGAGGGCAGTGGGAATGGGGAGAGCTGCAGTGGAGCTCCGTGAGGGGCAGCCCGGGCCAGGCACAGGCCCAGGGGAGGGGGACACGCAGGGAGGACAGGAGGCTGTTTTCCACAGGGTGGCACTGCTTGGCCAGGGATGGCGGGCAGGGCTGGCAGGGGCAGCGCAGAGCCCCCAGCCCCTGCCCTGGTGGGCGAGGGAACAGGAGCTGGAGAACCCGGGAAATGCTGTGCCAGGCATGCAGGGATGGCAGCTCCTGTGCCCGCGGCAGCTGCTGTGCTGTGCAGTGCTGCCTGGTGCCCAGGGACACTGTGCCTGTGCCCCCACTGTCCCAGACTGCTCCAAGCCCTGTCCAGCCTGGCCTTGGGCACTGCCAGGGATCCAGGGGCAGCCACAGCTGCTCTGGGCACCTGTGCCAGGGCCCCACCCCACCAGGGCAGGATTTCATCCTCACATCTGAGTGACCCCTGCTCCTGTGCAGCCCAGGCTCCGCACACACAGCTCTGCTTGCCATTTCACTTGGAGCTGCTGGAGGCTCCTGGCCTGGGGGCCCTGGGTGTCCTGGGGGCCCTGGCCCCACCGTACCTCTCGGTGTCACTGCGTCCCAAATGTCCCCTTGGCTGCCAGCCCTCCCTGTGCCTCCCATCAGAGTCCCCTCCGTGCTGAGCTGGCCCAGCCCTGCTCCCCTCTCCCCTCCCAGGCTGGAAGGGGCTGGGGTGTGCCATCCCCTGTGTCACAGGGGCCCTGTCCCTGTCCCTGTCCCTGTCCCTGTCCCTGTCCCTGTCCCTGTCTAGGCTTGGTCAGCAGCAGCCAGGGGTCACCCAAGGCTGTGACCAGTGCGTGCACGGCCAGGTGACCCGCAGAGCCCATTAGGGCAATTATTGCCTGTCAATTATTGTCGATTATTGCCTAATGTGAGTGTGGGGAGGGAGCCAGCGCTCTGCTGCCGCTGGGGAAGGCCAGGGCTGTGCACACAGATCTCAGCTAATGGCACTGGCAGGGGCAGGGACACTCCCTGCAGGCAGAGAGCTCACCCTGCTCCCTGGGCTGGGGCTCCAGCTGGGGCTGGGACGTCCCCAGGTGTCCCCTGCCACCTCCTGCCCCTCCTCTGCCTGGAGCTGGGCTCTGTGCAGCCCGTGCCGTGCCCCAGCTGTGCCCCAGCTGTGCCAGCTGTGCCCTGCTCCTCCCGGGCTGATCTCAGCTGGGCTGTGGCTGCTCCATCACCCTCCTGGCAGGTGCCAGTGCGTGCCACGGCCCTGCCCTGCTCTCTGCAGGATGGCAGCAGGCTGCGAGCCCAGCAAAGGCTGCGTCACACATCATTAGCAGCAGGAGGTGGCACTTTGATGGCACGGGGATGGCAGGAGTGGGAATTGTGCAGCCCAGGAGTGCTGGCTGGGCAGGCAGGGCTGCAGGCTCCATTAGGGAGAGGCCCCAGAGAGCCCCAGCTCCATCAGCCAGAGCTGGCCATGAATTATTGAACAGCAGGCTCCTCCGAGCTCCAGCCCTGCAGCCAGCCCGGAGAGCCGGGGGCTAGGCTGGGCTGGGGCTGGGCTGGGGCTGGGCTGGGGCTGGGCAGGGGATGGGCTGGAGATGGGCTGGAGATGGGCTGGGCCTGGCTGGGCCAGCGGGGGACACGGACAGGAGATGACACTGACCTGGCTGTCCCCATTTGCAGCCAAGATCCCCTTGGCTCCATCTCCAGCACGTGGCAGATTCCCCCCTCCACTGTCCATCCTCTCCCCTGCCCAGTCCGTGGCCCTGGGCAGGCTCCTCTCCTGGCACTGCAGAACAGGGGGGTTTCTGTGCCCGCAGCTTTGGCAGTGCCTGGGGGGCTCAGCCTCTATCCCCACTGTCACCCCAGTGCCCACGGCAGGGGTGGGCATCCCAAAATGAGGCACCACGGGGACAGGGGTGGGGCTGGAGCTGTCCCCTGCTGAGGGGCTGATTTCTGTCCCTGTGGCTGTTGGCAGGGGACAAAGATGAGGTGCAGAGGAGGGTGGGGCCAGCCCTGGGTCACTCCAGCACCCTGGGTCACATCCCACTCAGCTGCCTGGGCAGGCTTTACACTTCCCTGTGTCATCCTTACAGATGCTTTTATCAAAAATTCAGTGATCTAACATGAAACACCCTCTGGAATGTCACCAGAGGTGTCTGCACTCTTCTTCCAGGAACGGCTGGCAGAGAGCAGCCAATGCCTTTTCTGGGAAGAGCTTCTTTTGAGCAGGTTTTGCCTTCTCTGCTGTCCCATTTTGCAGCAGGAAATGGAGCTGGCAAGGCCATTTTCCTTGTCTCCAGAGTGACTGATCTGCTGGCTGGTGGCACATCTCCCCTGTGCAGAGCTGTGCCTGACAGGAGCCCTGCAGGGCACAGATGCCCTGTGCATGCCCAGGAGCTGGGACAGGAGCCCTGGCAGCCCATCCTGCCAGGCTGGAGCCAAGCAGGGTCTGGAATCCCCGTGGGGTGCCCGAGGGAGGGACTCTGGGGTTCAGAGAGAAGCTGAGAAATATTCCTGGGGGACAGGAAAGCCTGGGGTCACTTTACTCAACTCTAAGGTGCGGAGAATCCTAGGAAACCCTCCTTGGGTGCCCCAGGGGTTGGAGCTGGCAGCCCCTGGCACAACCCAGGTGGCTGCTGTGGAGTCTGGGATGCTCAGGGGTCCCTCTGGGAGCTTCCCCCTGGGGACAACTGCTGGCTGTGGCTGCTGGGGTGAGGTGCCACCTCCAGCCACACCTGGACCCTTCCTGATGGAAGGGTTTGGTCCGAGGTTTTCATTCCCCGTGGATAGCCCATCCTCCCCTGTGGTGGCCCCGAGTGACAGCAGCTGAGCCGTGGTGGCCCTGGTGGGGACAGGACGAGGAGCTGGTGGCCCGGAGCTGCTCCTGGTGACTCCCACCCCAAAGCATCC